CCCGTGAAGTTGCAGTTCTCATTTTCCAGAGCCGCGATTCTCTGGAAAATAAGCCTGAAACTTCACAGGACTTGAAGTCCCGTGAAGTTTCAGCGCTAAAACAAAACTTCACGGGACTTGAAGTCCCGTAAAGTTTTTTGAACATTGAAACTTCACGGGACTTCAAGTCCTGTGAAGTTTACCAACTTAACAAAATGACTGCAAAACTTCACGGAACTTAAAGTCCCGTAAAGTTTGAGAACTTTCTTCACCAAAACCGACTTGGTTTCAGCCCTGGGGCTGAAACCAAGTAGATTTTGACAAATAAACTTGAAAGGGGTCATTTTTGGGGAATAAGTTTGAAATTAGGGCTCTTTTGAAAATTTATCCTTAAAAATAATAATAAATAAATATTTTCTTATCTATAAACCCAATAAGATAACCCAACTTACTTTTAAGTCCACTCACTAGAAAAATTAATCTTTAACCTCAAATACCCCATCAACTCTAATAAATATAAAATGATAATATAATGAAGGGTCATATAAAGAGTATTTGTGTGCTATAAACCAAAAATTTCCTAATTTATTTTTAAATTCACCCACTTCATAATCAGTCTTTGACCTAAAATACCATAATGAATTACTTTTAAACTAAATTTATATTTCATAAATTTATTATATCTAAGTTGCAACTACAGATTGATTATTTAACTATAAACATTATTCTTATTTATTTTCAAACCTATACATTACAAGGATCTTTTATTATAAATCTAAAGTATTAGATATATTTATTTTTAAACTACACACCTCGAAAATCACTCCTAGAGTCAAAAAACTACACCAACCTATTTTTAGTCTCTATTGTGATGGTTTGTACATATGGTTTAAGTTTTTATATTCCACTTTGATTTGTTGTATTTCTTTTCTAAGAATCTAGATGTACAATGTGTTAGACCAAATGCTTAAGCATTGTTTTAGGTTTTTTTTTTCACATTGCCGCAATATCGTAAATGGTAGCTAAGTTTTTTCCTATGAGTTCTAGGTTTTATGCTCATTTATTTTTAAATTCACATACTTTGAAAAAAAATCCTAAATCAAATGTATTCTAGAAATTTCCTATACATGTAAGTTGTTATATATTATTTTTACACGTAAAAATTTGTTCTAAGTGATTAAGTAGAGAAGGGATTCTTTTAGAAGACCCTATCTAATAGGGTAATCTATACCACTCATGGGTGGTTAAATTGTTAGTTTGTAAATTATGATTAGTCTATTAATGGTATGAACCTTCCCACTTTTTTATAGGGGTTAGGGGTGGGTTTCATAGAAAACCTATTGTTTTGGTACATCATGAATTTTATAAATAAAATACTTAACAGTGTTGCATTTTTATTTTTTTTCATGCTAATGAAGCGACATCGAAAATGTTTTTTTGTGTATAAATGAAATTACCCTAAAGGGGGTTGAATAGGGTAAATTGCTAATCTAATCCGATTAAATACTAATTTAAAACTTATTAACAATATATTCTTGCAAGTATAATATACAACTAATTATGAGCAAGAATATGCAATATAAACAAATGGCGATATAAACATAAACTAAAATGCAAATGAGATCGTGTAAATAATCAACACAAACACACAAAGATGATCACGAAGTTTGGTCCTTCCAACCTACGTCTCCGCTCCCTACTCCCGGGGAGAATCCACTATCTCAACGGGTTTTCAACGTTCACTCAAAATGTTTACACCTCACAATCGGTTTTCTAGCTCACCGAAAACTTTCACAATTTCACACACTTGCAATCACACTGTACACCCTCTAAGTGTTGGCATGTCGCCTTCCTCAAGTGCTCGGATTTACAACCTCTCCCTAGGCTTTACTACCGACGCCACTCCTCTTGGAATTGACCCCATCTCTCACCACACACTCCTCTCAGTGTACAAATGTATTACAAAGTGTATCTCACAATTAAGCTCAAATAAAAATATTTGTTCTCTATAATAGATGAGAACCCAATGTAAGCTCACACAACTAATCACACTCACAAACCAAGTATACTATGTGTGTGTAACACCCCTGATTTTCATACTAGTTGCACTCCAGGGTGAACCCCAGTGTCATGTTAAGCTTGCTTATGCACAGAGAACGGTGCATAGCAGGTCCTAACATCTCTGGGGTTCACCCCTGGACTGCAACTAATGTGAAAATCAGGGGCGTTACACTGTGTAAAATACTTAAGCTCAAGTGGTTGTGTGTGAAAGATAACAAGTAATATAAACTCAATTGAAATCTAGCTTATAAAAATGATAAAAAAAACTTATAAATAGCTAGAGATTGAGTTTAAGAAATCTTCTCTGAAAAATAAGAGAGGGAGATGGATGAAATTGAAGCTCAAACAATAGAATTAATCTCCTCTTGTTCTTATGAAACTTTCTTCACAAAACACTTGTGAAAACACACTTAAACAAACTTTAAACACCCTTTAAACTTGTTTTAAAACTTTCTTGGTTGTTGAAAATAATTATGACAAATGGGTATATATAGGGTAGAAGAAACAAGCCCAAGAAAACACCAAAAATCCATAAAAATATTACAATAAATAAAATCTGGAAAATAACTGTTATTGTGCAATGACTAGTTTGTAAGTCGACTTACGATAGGGTATAAGTCGACTTATGTCTTATGAGTCGACTTGTATGAGTTATAAGTTGACTTGTATGAGTTATAAGTCGACTCAACATACAAAAACAACAAACTGTACAACAGATCATAAGTCGACTTGTAAAATTCATAAGTCGACTTATCATATATAAGTCGACTTGCTTGGGGTATAAGTCGACTCAGTAGATAAAAACTGCATTTTCCAGAATAGTTTATAAGTCGACTTGCTACAGTACATAAGTCGACTTATAAACATGCACATGCACTGTTCATATATGAAATCTGATTTTTGAAGTGCCTTAAAAAATAGCAAATAAATTCCAAAAAATATAAAACTTTGAGAAATAATTATAAACATGAAAATGAACATGTTATAAAAAAAATTTCAAATTTAATTTTCCAATTGTAAAAACTCATCATTTTGCAAAATAGTCCAAAAGCATGAAAACTTAACAACACATGTTTTTGACAAACAAACTTGCATATTCATTTTGAATGGATTAAAGGATTTAGCAAAAAAAATAAAATGGTGTAATCTAGTCTTTAATCTAATTAAACACATATTTTTACAAATAAACATGATTTCATTGATTTTAAACTTGTTGATTAATGAAATCATCTTAACATATTTTTACAAATAAACATGATTTCATTGATTTTAAACTTGTTGATTAATGAAATCATCTTAAGCACATATAAACATGGATTTTAAACTTGTTGATTAATGAAATCATCTTAAGCACATATAAACATGAAAATATATTTATATACGTCTATTGAGTTTTCATGTTTATGTGGCTAAACACATTATTTACCAAAACCAAAAATGATAAATATGAAATATGTATGTATGTATATAAATAAGTAAATGTGTTTCTTATTCAAACTTGAAAACTATAAAACCAAAACGTGTATGTGTGCATAAGATTGAGCTCTAAGTATTAACACACAAGTATAAACCCTAAACTATAAAACTATACCAAAGCAATCTTGATCTTCAATTAAGCTCGTCTTGGTAAACATGGATGAAGCCTGAACTTGAATTTTTGACTTGAATTGTGAATCGCTTCATTCCGATATTCCTTCCATCCTCCAATGGATATGATGATCGTGTAGGCGCAATCCAACCAACCTCCAACATCAGTATTTGTCTAGAATACCTAATGAATAAACACAAACACTAGACAAACGATGTTAGGGATTGTTTGTAAATCATCATCAAAACAAAGGTACTAACAAAACTCAAACTTTTAGCATATTGCCTTTTAAACTTACTCTTCATAAAAGCAGTTCTTGTGCATATGCCTAAAATCTTGCCTTCATTTATTATTAAAGTCACTCACCTCCAAGATCACTGTTGAGATCCAAAATACTCATTCGAACAAATCTTAAACTCAATTTACATTTTCACTGCTCATCATATGTGAGCATATTTTGTTATAACATTGTATATTTTCGTTCTAAATTCAAGGTCACACTATTTATTTTTAAACTCACTCATTTCCAAGGCTACTCTTAAACACAAAATTCTTAACATTATTTTTAAATCTATTTTGTATTTCAACGATCATGTATACATTGCGAGTCATTATATTTTTTGTTTTAAGTGGTTAGCTACATTGTATTTTTAACTAAATAGTTAATCCATAAAGTTTTTTTTTGGTGTTCTGGCCCTAAGCCCAAAGTTCCCCTCTACTTATTGAGCCTACTCATATTCATAGGAATTTTTATTAAATGGTTAGGTGTATTTTGTAACTAGATGTCTTAACCATTATATATATTAGCTTTTCCATATTAATGTCATATCATAGTGAACTGTAGATGTGCATGCGTGCATATGTTTATTATTATTTTTTGCTTCATTTATTTTTAAACTCACTCACTTTTTAAAATGAATTTTTATTTCTAAACGGAAAGTTTTACCTTCATTTACTTTTAGACTCCCCACATTTTCTAGATCACCTTGATTCTAACATACTTGAAAGAATTAATTTTAAACTATTGTATATTAATAGTTTTGTATCACTGTAAGTTTGTATATTTTGTTTTAACTTGCTATTTTATTCAAAGTATTAAGCGTACAATACATTTTTAGGTTAAATACTTAAAATATATTTTTGATTGTTTACACGCAAATGCCGCGGCAACGTGCGTGCCAATCTTGCTTGTATTATACAAATGCAAACAGGGTTGTGCACAGAAGGGACTGTATATGCACAACTAGGAACGCATCAATAGAGACAATGGAGAGAACTCTTTGTCACTGGGCAATAAAGATTTTAGCATTAGAAGATAAATCAAAATTGTTAAGATGTTTTGTGAAGAATTTTATTTTCAGAAACTCACAACTAAATATGAATTAGACATTTAGGAAAATAATTATCAAGCCCCATTTGAAGCACCAGAACCATATCTCATGTTGACATTTGTATTATTACATATGCTAAGATGGGCCAATAATGTAGACAAAGAGTTCATGAAACAAGCCCATAGATAGCAGCATAAGTCACACATCAGATCTCAACTCAAAAAACTTAAAACTGATTCATCCACTGGAGAACCTTATATAAGCACTGTCTCATTAAATACAACTGAACTCAACGTAACACGTTAACATGCCTCAGATTCTTCTTCCTTTGCTCTGCAATATTTGCACGACCAATATCCTGAACATAGGAAAATTGTTATCTAATTAAAAGCATGGGACACGAAAATTGAAGAAGACGGTCAAATTTAGAACAAAGCTATAGATAGACAAGGAAAATTCCATGTCCATAGATATATTATAGGATCCGAACAGAAAGAGAGGAGCTGAGAAAGATTGCCTCATAAACAGACATGAGGAGGAATCAGCTTTCCTGGATTCATGATGTTATTAGGATCTAACACGCTTTTGATTCTCTTCATCGTCCTCAAGGCCCCCATACCAAGCTCCTCCTCAAGATACTGCAAATGTGACAAATGTTTTTTTACTTCAGCATTTCGAGTTACTTGTATGGTGATGCGTACAGACATCACCGGATGAACTTATGGTTCTTCCAGCAATAAAACCAATATACTGCTGCTGTAAGAGCTTGCCAAAATATGAAAACAGGATGTAGCAGCGTTTGATGACAATTTGGTCCACTCAAGTGAACTCATTAAGAGCTGTA